GAGCTGTCACACCTCCTTTTTACCACCCGAGGGGGATATAAGGGAGTTTTTCTAATTGAAGTGACATTATTCGAAATGGGATTATTTTTATTCATTTAGAGTCGCCACTTGGGAAAATTTATTATGGTGTCCCAAGTCACTGGTTTATTTCAAATCCCAAATCGAGGAAAATCGACTTTATTTAAAAGTCTGCGAAACCAGAAATTCTAAGTAAGGAATTCTGTTAACCCCGGGAGAAGGTGTTAGGCATTCCCAGGTTCCGTTGTTTGAGCACGGTCGCTTAACTATTAATAATTGGCCTATTATCTGATTTGCTACATGTTTTAAAACTATTGTGCATTTTAACTTTATAACCGCTTTTAACCATTTATGAAATTATTCTGGAACAAGTTATGATTGTCGTACACTTGTTGGTTTGATACACATTGTGAATCGTGTCACGGGAACCGTATCCACGATCTACAACATGTTTAATTTATTAACATTATTAGAAGTTGGGGCCGGGTCACATAAATATACCGCCAGATTTTGAAATTATGTATCACAACTATGTCACGGGAACCGTACCCGTAGTCACGATGATTGATTATAAACGCGCCTAAAGCAAACTACAAATGTTCAAAGTATTTTCTACACTAGTTATGAATGTTCAAAGTATTTTCCACACTAGTTTTGGTATTAATGTGAGGGCCATATATTATGGGATTCATTTGTGAATGGCACGCCTCAAATTATTCAAAAGATTGCTAATTGTATACATGCTTGAGGTAGATATGTTACATGTTTAATCATTTTTTGGAGAGAACTGGGCCAGCAGCAAGCCCACCACCTTATCTAAAGAAAATTTGCAAGGAAAATAAGGCTGGGCCTAACTGGACTCAAAGTTGAGCCCAAGCGTGAAAACAAAGGAGAATGGAAACAAGGGGAGTCTGTTTCTTGGCTTGGCAGCCTTATTTGGGCCATCACCAGGCCCAATCACTTTTCAAACACAAGCTCCCAACGTTTAAACCCGTTCTTATTATATAAGAAGCAAACTTGGTGAAATAAAATGTTGAAGTTGATTAGGGGCTCTGAATTGATCCCAAAATAGAAATTAGGTAACGGCAGAGATGCCCTAGGTCGAAACCCGACTGGGCTGTCTTGTCTGGGCCAATGTCAGGCCCAATTGAGACTCAACTTCCTCCAAATCATATGTGACACAAGTAATAAAAGTTTCAAAGAAAAACAAAATCAGAGGCTATTCATTCCTATCATAAATCTAATTTTAACATGTTGTTAATACTAACAATAAGAGATTATACCTTAAAATTATTCATGAATCACCTCAACCTTACATATAAAATCACTTTAAACATGTTGAAATGCGAAATAATTCAGATAAGCGTACTCAATAATCAAACATGGCCCATTTTAGACATATACAGTACATATCCATCATCCTCTAATAAGGACCAAATGAACTAATAGGGCATTGAACATAAACTTTACTAAGATACTTTAAACCTTAACTATCAACCACAACAATCACCTTTAAAATTATTACAATCTACTCCATACTAATTTTATACAAAAATCAGTTTGCTAGTGAACAGTCCATAGATTTAAATTACAACACATTTTACATACAGCTAAAGAAAACTGTTTCAAATGATGTTCAACGTAGTTTTGGGCTTTTCATTTGTTGCAAACCCTTCAATAAGCTTCAGATTGCACAAAACAACTACAAAGCTGTCTTTGCAAGTCAGCATTTGGTTCCAGCTCCCAAATAATTCTGAGGTTTTCCTCTCTTGTAACGACTGACATACATTCAGAAAAGAAAAATAAAAGTCTCATTACAAAGAAAGTCCATTTACCACCACATGATAGCAAGGTAGTAAGCAATAGCTAGTATCAATGAAATGATCAACTTAGTATAATCCATGAAGCATGATTCACATACAAAACATGGCAGAAGTCATTTTTATAAGAAAGCAACTGGTCTGGAACTTCAGAGGAACACCATTCATTGAACAAAACCAAAATGAACTTGAAACAAGTGTAGAAAACTATAGGCAGAAACAACAAACATATTTCTAATCAAACACCATATCTCATTTATGAATCATGAAGGATTTTAGATAAAAGAACTACATACCTATAACAGCAAGAATCCAAAGTGAGACAAAATGAACCCCTAATCGAAACTATAAAGGATACAACCAGCAGGAACAAAACAGCACAGCCAAAGTCAACCCAGAACACAAAGAACGGCTGACTTGAATTTCTAGAATAAAAAATAAACAGCCCTCGAGTGAACTAACATAGGAACTCTAGTCCAAAACTGATTTTAGAATAAGAAAATTGCAGGAAGCATTTCTTTTTCTTCTTTTGTATATTCAGAGATTTTTTAGGGTGAAAATAGGCTGATGAATCTGTCCGAGTAAGAGGAGGGTCTATTCCTTTTATAGAGTGTACGAAAACAACATAAAACAGGAATATTCTACCCTAAATTCCTCAAATGTCAGATAGTACAACATCTTTTAACAGTTGTCTATCCTTTTTTCAGCTCAGTTCCAGCATTTTCATGCTAAGAATGGGGACACCTGTGCAAAATCTAGAACTTTCGGATTTTTACCTAATATAAAATACAATTTTAACCCTTCAATTACTGATTATCTCAGTTCTAACCAATTATGATCCTATTCTGATTCTAGAAATCCCTTTAGGACTTTCTAGAACCAGCTAGATGATTAGGGTTTCTTAAACTTACTTTAATTTGTAGCCTTTGGGTATTTACACCTTATTTTCGAAGTTAACCTAAAGTCTAGGTTTCAATTCTAAGGTTTAAACCTAATTGACAAGTTTTATCTAACTATCCCTAAACAAACATTGCATTTAAACCTGTAACTAAACAACAAATAAACAAAAAACCAGAATGCTTATGCAAAGAAAACATAGAAATCAACTTAATTAGTTTCAATTAAACAGATTAATCAACTAAAGCTAAGGTTTCTAAAGCTAATCAGAAACAGGTCCGATAGATTGTTAACTAACCTTTGGGCTTGAGTAAAACCATTCTAATCAACTTAAAACAAACACTGAACGTAAACACATAAACACAAGAGAGAAAAACCAGAGATATGGAGAAGAAAAGAACAGTCATGCAGTTTATAAAAAGCTAAAAATTAACCCTAATCAATCTAAATCTGATGCAATCGAGATTAAGCATCCAAATAGTCATAACATCAGCATGCTTCAATCAACAAATGGAACGAACATGCAATACCAAATATAAGGGAATACACTGTCATTACCTAAATCATGCAGACGAAAAGAAAGAGAAGAAATGAACATGAATGACGACAGAAGATAGCATAAAAGAAAAAATGGAAAAGAAATTACCTAGGGCTCATTTTTTACTAGACCAAGCTATGAATTTGACCACGTTTAATGGGGTAAAAGTGGACTTGGACGACCACTAATCAATTGTTCTTAACAAGCACAGTTGACTAATGGAAGTCTTAGGTTCAAATAACCCGAAAACTGACGGAAAAATCAAAAGAGGAAAAGTTTAGTGTTTGTGGATCTTAGATCTAAGATTCGAGGGGTTCTAGATTTATTTGGAAGGAATTGTTATGAGATATGGAAAGAGGGGGGGAGGGTAATTGTCTGGTGTTGATTTGTTGTAGTTTGGAGGTGGTCCGCCACCATGAGGCAATTTCCGGTCGGTGGACCACCGCGGAGACGGCGAGGGAATCCTAGGGCGGCTAGGGTTTGGGGCTTGAGAGAGATGAGAGTGAAAGGGGGGGGGGGTGTTTTGGGGTTAGGTCTATCTTCGGACAGTTTTATGTAAATGGGGTATTAAGTTCCGAGCCGTTGGATCAAAACAATCCAACGACTGTGATGATAGATGGGGGAAACGGGGTCGTTTTGGGGCTAAGGAATTGGATCGGGTAGACTGGTCTTTGGGGCCTGGGTTTGACAGGATTTTAAAAATTAATTGGGCCAATTTTAAAGATTGGCCCAATTTTAAAGAAACAAGACCAAATACATTCTTCCTATTTTTCTTTTCTTTGTTTTTTTTCTTTTTATTTTCTCTAATTAATTAAAATCCTAAATTAAATCCTAAATTTATCTAATTTGTAAAATTAAATTAATTGTCTATTTATAATACTTACAAAAATTAGTTAATCCTAAATTAATGAAGAGAAAATTACTAATCTAAATTAAAAGCTAAAATGTAAAATGAATGATATTTTTTGTGATTTTCATTTTAATAAAGCAATTAATTAACAAATTAATCCTAAAAATATGAACATAAAATCTAACATGCAATGCATGGTACTTTTGATATTTTTCATGATTTTAACAAAATTAAACGTGCACAAAAATGCAAACAATTAACAAAATCCTATAAAATTGAAAACAAATTTGGAAAAAATCTGTTTCTTTATTTTTGTAGGAGTATCTTTTAGTAGGGCAAAAATCACGTGCTCACAATGAGGACCTTCTCGAACATTATATTAGACCTTGAATTAATCGACCTACCTCTTCAAGGGCACACTATACATGTTCAAGGGGAGAGGATTCTCTCCAGGCTTCCAGAATTGATCGCTTTCTAATCTCCTCGGAGTGGAATGAAAGTTTCAAAGCTATCAAACAGATAGCACTTCCAAGGGTTATCTCCGGTCACAAGCCATTACTACTAGAGTGTGGTGAGTGGGAAGCCATAACATCCTACTTTAAATTTGTGAACATGTGGCTGCAACAAGATGGATTCATTGATATGATAAAGGCTTGGTGGCAGAACTACCTGATCGGTGGCTCGCCTGATTTTATTCTCGTCCAATAATTGAGGAACCTGAAGAAGGATATTAGCAAATGTAACAGAGAGGTTTGTGGTAGAATGGATGATAGAAGAGGCAAAGCACTTGATGAACTTTCAGTCCTAGAGCAGGCCACAGAAAACAGAGTCTCTACACAATCTAAAAAACAAAAGGATTCTGAGTTTGAAATTGGAGATGCAGAACTTGGACAAAGCTGAGGAGATCTCGTGGAGACAAAAGTCTAGATGCCGGTGGCTCAAAGAAGGAGACAACAACACTAAATACTTCCAAAAATTGGCCAATTCAAATAGAAGACACAGCAGTATCGACAAGCTCAAGGTGGGCAGTGAAGTAATTGATGACAAGGAGTTGATCAAGGAAGAAATCCTAAATTACTACCATAACCTGTATGCTGAAAATGAAGTTTGGAGACCTACAACAAATTTTGAGGAGGTGGCCAAAATTTCAGCAGTTGACAACGAAATGCTAGAAGCAGTTTTCGATAAAGAAGAAGTTCATGCTGTTATCCAGTCTTGTGCACCAGATAAAGCACCAGGTCTAGATGGGTTTACCATGGTTTTCTTTCAAAAAGCAAGGGACTTTATCAAGCCAGAAGTATTGGGGGCTCTCAACCACTTCCACCAACACTGCCATATGATCAAATCATGCAATGCTTCATTCATTGCACTTCTTCCCAAGAAGAAAGGAGCTATGGAGTTGAGAGACTATAGGACAATTAGCCTCATAGGAAGTGTGTACAAAATTATCTCGAAGCTTCTAGCAGAGAGATTGAAGAAGGTTATTGGCAAGCTGGTCTCTTCCCATCAAAATGCCTTCATAAAACACAGCCAAATCACAAACGCCTCACTGATTGCCAATGAAACCCTTGACTGGAGGATTAAAATCCGTGAACCTGGTGTAATGTGCAAACTTGACATAGAAAAGGCATTCCACCTGCTAAACTGGTCCTATCTCATCTCTATTCTTAGGAAAATGGGATTCGGCGACAGATGGATCAGACTCAGCATCTCAACTGTCAAATTCTCAATGATAGTCAATAGGGGTCCAGCGAGTTTCTTCTCTCCTCAAAATGGGATCAGGCAAGGAGATCCCCTCTCTCCTTTTTTGTTCATTATAGCAATGGAAGGACTAACATCGGGAACTCAGTCACAGTGTCACATTTGCTATATGCTGATGATACACTCATCTTTTGTGAGCCTGTTACATCACAACTTCTGTATTTGAATTTGGCATTTCTTCTCTTTGAAGCACTATTAGGTTTACATATCAACATGTTGAAAAGTTTCATATACCCGGTCAATGATGTGCCTAACCTAGAGGAACTGTCCAACACTATGGGTTGTACAATCGGGTCATTTCCCACCACCTATCTAGGTCTCCCTCTTGGTGCCAAATACAAGAACACTGAAATCTGGAATGGGATCATTGGAAAGTTTGAAAAGAGATTGGCAGCTTGGCAGATGCGGTATCTCTCCATGGGAGGGAGACTAAATCTCATCAATAGTGTCCTTGATAGCATCCCCACTTACTACATGTCATTATTTCCCATCCCTAGCAAGGTACTTAAGAAACTAGACAAGATCAAGAGAGACTTTCTCTAGGAAGGAAACAGCAGCTCCCACAAATACCATCTCGTCAAGTGCTCCAAAGTCACACAATCAAAAAGCAATGGAGGGCTGGGTATTAGAGACTTGGCCTTACACAACAAAAGTCTGCTCATGAAATGGCTATGGAGGTTCGGTACGTATGAGTCAAGCCTTTGGGAAGAAGTAATTGTTGCTAAACATGGTAGAAGGGACAATTGAAGAACAAATACATCTACGTCATCTCATGGGGTTGGCCCTTGGCAGCACATCAGCAACTTGGGAAATGAATTCTTTGAGCAAGTATTTTTCAGGCTGGGAATGATTTGAACATTAGTTTCTGGAAGGATAAATGGTTAAACAATATTCCACTCATGGAGGTCTATCCAAATTTTTTCCAGATTGCCCAAGATAAGAATTCCTCTATTGCTCAAAACAGATGTGGAAACAGTTGGAATGTATTATTCAGAAGATATGTTCAAGATTGGGAGTTAGATAGTGTGTTAGAATTACTAGCTAGTTCGGAGAGGTGCACCATTGATGAAACCAAAGCTGACAGACTAAGTTGGGGAGACAACAAACTTTTCACTGTGAAGGAATGCTACCAGCTTTTAAGTTCTCTGAATCATATAATTGATTCCTGGCCTTGGAAGCAAATCTGGAAGACCAAAATGCCTGCAAAGGTCATCTGCTTCAGCTAGATTGCTCTTAAGGAAGCATGTTTAACACAAGACAATCTCAACAGACGGGGTTTGAAATTGGTAAATATATGCTATATGTGTCAAAACAGCTCCGAGTCAGTCAGCCATCTGTTTTTGCATTGTAGAGTGGCCAACGAACTATGGAATATGTTCTATTCTCTCTTTAGAATTCAGTGGGTCATGCCATAGCATGTTGGTGAAGCATATGCAAGCTGAAGCCTATGGAGAGTTGAAAAGACCATCAAGAAAATCTAGGTGATGATCCCTGGAGTTATTTTTTGGTCTTATGGAATGAAAGGAATCATAGATGTTTTGATGGAATCTCAACTCCAACTCACTCTCTTAAAGCTAGATGTCTGATTAACCTTTTTTGCTGGACTAACTTAACTTCTGTAATTAGCTTTGATCAATTTTTTGATTTTGTTAGTTCCCTGATGTTTTGATGTAAAGGGGATAACAAACTAGTATTTTTGTGCTCTAGTGCATTTGTTCTTTTGTAACTTCGCATCTTCTTGATGCCTTTTATTATTGAAACACCTTACTTCATAAAAAAAACCATCTAATGTCAGGAATAAAGCACATACTATGCAGTGGAACAATTTGAAATCCACTAATATAAAACTACCTATAAACATCAAGCTAGTAAAAGTTTACCCATCAGAATTATTCTGTAAGACCATTCCTCCCAAATCAGCAACTTCTGTTAGAGCAACCTTCCATTCATTCACCTTCTGCAACCATTCCGGTCTCCTTCCTTCGGTCCCTAATTTATATCTTTCTTCATATATTAAAGAATCTTGTTCAAAACTCCCTTTTTGTTTCTTGACTTCTGAGGGAATCCATATCATAAAACACAGGTAGAACAAAATGTCGAAAAGCTCTCTTACTCTCAAGTATAAACACAAGTTCATCAAGGCACCTCTCTGAAGAGGTATACTCTTTAGTGAAGACAACAATGAGAATTCTTGATTCTTGAATTATTTTCTGCAATTATTTGCATCCCTTTTCATCTATCTCAAGTTCGTCAACCCTGAACGTGCGAATACCAGCATTTGATAAAGCTGAAAAAAGATAATCTCCAAAGGACATGCCTATTTTGGTTGCCAAACTCATAAATGCATGATGAGCAAACTGAGTCACTTTTTGTTTTGTTTTAATCAGTCACTGATAAAAGATTGTTCTTTGAGAAGCAATTGTCTAGAACCATAAATAGGTGACTACCGATGTGCAGGCAGTCTAAGAAGGTACATGCATTGTTTTTATATGTCAAAATCAAATATATATATGTTCCAAAATTTACATAACCTAAGGTCGACAGATCATTAACTAACCTAGTAAATGACAACGAATTGGCAATACATATATGTAGTTGTTACTACACAATTTGTCTCTTATTTATCGCAAGTAGATTTGAAAAACCCGAGGTAACAAAAATGCAACTTTAGCACATCTCTATAATAGGACAGAGGTTCTAGAGTGAGAGTCCCTAACTACTACTTGCAACCTTTAAGTGTCAACTTTATGATAAACAAAGTGTTTAAACAATATGAAAATAGAACTACGTTTATATTTCAGCTTATATGAATAGAATACTTAAATTGGCGAAATATATCTTATTTGTTTAAGATTAAGACTTAGAGAAAAATGTTTCCGGTCCACATTGAGAACATGATGAGAAACTGTCATTCAGAAAGTTATATCTATCATAAAATTCACATAACTTGTAACATTTTCAAAACCGAACACACTTCCAATAATAAGTTATTTAAAATATTCTTTCAATCCAGAAACTGTTGGAATAGTTATAAGAATCCTCAATGGGTATTCACTATATTTAATTTCATTCCAACACCAAAACATATTTGTTTGTTAAGGCAAATTAAGGGTCCACTAATATTGGAGATTTTCTTAATCCCATACTTATCTTTATATTGACATTTAAAGATTAAAAAGGCTTGTAGGAACACCAAGCATAAGTTATATATGCTCCAGCTAGTTGTTATCACCTACCATCGTATTCGTATTTTGTTGTTGTTTTTATTATTACGCAAGAATATAAAAATGTTGCACTATTCTTCATATCAACACAGAGTTTACCATGCAATAAAATATTTATCCTATATTTTATATTGTAGTAGAACTTTTTACAAATTAACATCCCTCTTCGCCAAATTAACTCCGCCAGTGTGGGCTTGCTCACATTGTGGTCCCACGCCCGAATAAAGAGGATTGTTGTAGACAAGCAGCGAGCGTAAAACTTGTCAATTCATGATGATTAACTCGTACTAGATATTGATGTTGTATCACCCCTCTTCACCCAAATTATTGAACTAGCAGATGTTTTTTGTAAATACTTTTGAACTATCGATTTTGCTTTAGTATACATTTGTACCAAATACAAGTTGAAGTGTTTGCTTATTTGTTGGCTTGTTGAATAAATATTTACTTCTGGCTAATATATTATTTTAATCATATATATACATATGTATTACACATGTACCAAATTATAGCACCCGATAAGAAATGGATGGAACTTATCCATGATCGGCTTGGTAATGCTAACAAGCTTAGGGTGGACAGTTTATTGGATTTTACTTTTACAAGATAAAGTGAAGCGCGTGTAATACGTTGTCCATGTATCAAATGTTGTAATACATCTTCGGGAACACGTCAGATGGTTAAGTCACATTTAATAGTACATGGAATAATTCAAAATTATACTTTTTGGTATCATCACGGGGAAAAGTTAGTTGAGCCACAATCAAATTCAGAAGATGTAGAAGATGATGACATTGAAGAAACTTATGGTGAGGATGAAATACATGGGATCCTAAAAGATTTATACCCTGTTTTTGATGCACACAATACGAACATTGATTGTGATGATTTTCTTGAGGAGGAACCCAATCTTGAAGCAAAAAAATTCTATAGGCTTTTACAGGATTTTGAGCGACCATTGTATCAAAATCCAAAAGTTTCTAAACTTTCTACTATGGTTAAATTGCTTCATATCAAAAGTATTGAGCGTTGGAGTCACGAGTCATTTACAATGTTGTTGAAGATGTTGAAGGAAGATCTATTGCCTGATGAATCAAACTTGCCAGATTCATATTATGAGGCAAAGAAGATAATTCGGGATCTTGGACTTTCTTACAGGAAGATTGATGCGTGTAAGAATAATTGCATATTATATTGGAAGGATGACAAGTTTCTTGAATCTGGCAAAGTTTGTGGAGCATTTAGATGGAAAGAGGATAAACATAGTGGAGAAACTAAATTTAAGAGTGGAAAAATGATAGCGCACAAGATTTTATGTTATTTTCCCTTAAAGCCAAGACCCCAAAGATTGTTTATGTCCTCAAAGATATCATCTTTAAGGACATGGCATCATGAAAAAAGAGTTGACGATAGAATGATGAGGCACCCAGCTGACTCAATGGCATGAAAAAAGTTTGATGAACTTCACCAGCCGTTCACCGCTGACCCTCGTAGTGTTTGACTTGGACTTGCTAGTGATGGTTTTCAACCATTTGGAAGTTCTAGAACCCAGTACAGCATTTGGCCTGTTGTACTTAATCCTTATAATTTGCCACCTTGCTATGTATGAAGCAAGAGAATTTTATTTTGTCGATGCTTACTTCTGGTCCTAAAAGTCCGGAGATGCAATTGATGTTTATCTTCAACCTTTGATGGATGAATTAAAGAAATTATGGGAAACTGGAGTGGAGACCTTTGATGCGTCAACCAGACAGAACTTTATATTGCATGCAGCTCTATTATGGACCATTAATGACTTTCCGGCCTATGCAAATTTATCTGGATGGAGTACAAAAAAAAAATAAGCTTTCCTATGTTGCAATAAAGAAACATCCTCAATCAGGTTAGAAAATGGTAAAAAGCAGTGTTATATGGGTCATAGACGCTTTCTTCCTCTTAATCACAAATGGAGAAATGATAAAGATTCATTTGATGGCACTAAGGAGCGAAGACTACCACCCAAAGTTTTATCGGGTAAGGATATACTTGATAAGTGGCTGACTTAGATGGTTTACCGCAAACAAAGGATCCAAAGAAGAAGCCTAAAATATCACATGAGAGTAGGGGTGATAATTGAAATAATAAGAGTATTTTCTTTGATCTTCCCTATTGAAAAACTCTATTGTTGCGACATAATTTAGATGTGATGCATATCGAGAAAAATGTATGTGACAATACTTTGGGGACAATCTTAAATGTCAAAGGAAAAACTAAAGATAGCATAAAAACTCGATTGGATTTGCAAGCAATGAACATAAGGAAAGAATTGCATCCAATTAAAAATGGGGATAAATATGAGCTACTAACTGCATTGTCACAACCCTAGTTCACCAACCGTGAACATGTCACGACGGCACCTGGTCCCCATGACCAGGTAAGCCTAACATTTGCGGAAATATAATAATTGCGGAAAAATAGAGAAAATCAAATCAAATATCTAAAGGAAGCTGTACTGAATGCCGCTTGGCAAGTACAACTCAATATCACAAGTCTAAAACAATTCCCAAAACCCGAAAACTCACGGGCAACACAGGCTACAGAAGTGTATAGTAAAGGTTCCAAAATCCAGAATTTCTAACAACCGAAAGAAGGAAAACTAAGTACTAAAGATAGAGTAAGAGGGAGACTCGTCGGTCTGCGGATGCAGCAGATCTACCTCGAAGTCTCCGTAGTCCTCCTGCCTCACTGATAGTGCGCCTGAGTGGAAGTACCTGAATGATCTGCACATGAAAAACATGCGCAGGAAGGGCGTGAGTACACCACAGCGGTACTCAGTAAGTGCCAAGCCTAACCTCGGTTGGGTAGTGACGAGGAAAGTCAGGGCCCTACTGAGACAAAATATAATAATAATAATAATTTAACAGTATAAAAATCTGACAGATATAATAAGTACAGCAGTGAGATAAGACAAGTCAACGAGGCTATAACAACTACACGAGTACAGAATAAACATAGAGTAAACA